TGTATATTTGCCAAATGATTAAATGAATGAAGCAGCATGGTATAAGGCAAAAAAGTAATGGACTAAATAAGCATCAGGAAATTTGGTTTTAGGCCCTAGTTCTTCAACTAACTGTATAACTGAGCAAAAATACTTCCTTTCCTTCCCTAGTTTCCTTATCTGTAAAATGAAGGAATTAGTAACTACACTAGATAACCTCTTCTAGCTCTAAATTTGTGAGTCTTCCCAATAAGCCAACCAAGAAGGAGAGAATTCAATGTGAACCCTAAAAGTTTTGGCAAAGGATAGATTTGGATGTGAGAAAAACAGAAGAATGATCTATTAAAAATGTAAAGTTTCATTATTTTGGTTAGTATTATGATGCTACATTGACTGACTGAGATCAGTTGATCTATTGTGGCTGAATATGAAAATATATAAAGCTAAATCTAAGAGAGATGGTAAAGGAAGGGAAAAGTGAGGAGAAAGTGAGCATAGAAAGTGATAGCAACAACTCATATTTGAATATCATTTTAAGGTTTAAAAAGTGCAGCCACCCTATGAGGTAGCTAGTAGAAGGATTGTTAGCTAGGTGGCAGAGTGGATAGAAAATTGAGCCTGGAATCAGGAAGCCCTGAGTTCCAATCCAGCCTCAAATGGTTACTAGCTTTGTGATACTCTGGGTAAGTCACTTAACCTCTGTTGGCTTCAGTTTCCTCAACAGAGATAAAATAACACCTATTTCACAAAGTTGTTGTGAGTATAAAACAAGGTAATACTTGTAAAGTTTAGCAGAGTGCCTGACACACAGTAGGCTCTTAATAAAGTTTTGTTTTCTTGCCATTTTATAGATTGGAAAACTGAGCCTAGGAGAGGTTGCTGTCCACAGAATCAGAGATGGTCAATCTAAGAATCACGATTTGAAGGAAGATGTTTTGACTCCAAGTCTAGTACATTTCCTGATACTTTATTCTGGAGTGTAGAGAAAAGGAAGAAAAAGAATTATAAAAAATCAAGGAGAAATCAGGGTGGCCTAAAGAAATTCATTCATATTCTGTCCCATTTAGTTAAACCTTTGGTAAAGAAGTTGGGATGGATAATAAATGGCATCAAGAATCCAGAGGGATATCAACAATTTTGAAAGAAATATCAGGTGAGTTAAAGAGGCCCCAATAATTAGAGAAAGGGAAAAAATTTGGAAGGTTTTAATGGCTAGAAAAGGGGATTGATGTAAGATTTAGTTTGGTTCAAGTCTAGATGGAGCTAGAGATAGGGCTTTTCTTTTTCTAATAGCAGTTTATTTGTATTTGAGGGGACACCCAGAGAGATGAGGAAGAGGTGATAAAGAAAAGAACTTGAATCAGAGAAGACATTTCAGACAGTCTCGATTGAAGGAATTTTAAAAAAAGAGAGTATATCTATATCTATATATCTATATCTATCTATATCTATATATATATACACACACATATATATACACACACCACACACCCACACACACATACACACACATTTATACACACATATGTATGTATGTGTGTAGCCCTGAAAATCACCTACCACGTATATAAGATGAAGCAAGAATAGGAGGCCTTTGCTTGGAAGAATAGAGAAGGAAGTTAGGAAGAATGAAAGGAATTTCATATCAGTTGTAGTGGCCTGAGAGAATTCATTAATTCAACACGGAAGCATCACTAAGTGAGATATGACCACAGAGTGAGAAGGAATGTCAAGAGGTAAAATAAGACTTAACAACCTAAAAGAAACCTGGTCAAAGAGACAGCCCAGAAGTGGAGTCTTAAAAATAGTGGGATGAGGAAAATTGAAACAAAACAAAACAGAAAAACAATTGTCACCTGACACAGATGACTTGAGTTAGGACTAGGTCCCACTTCTTACTCCTTATATGGCTTTGGGCAAATCACTTAGTCTCTCTAGGCCTCTGATTCCTAATTTCTAAAATCAGAGGATTGGAATAAGTAATCATTGAGTTTACTTTATTTTCTAATATCCTATAAGCCTAATATTTTATGGGGAGGACAGCTGGTAAAGGGCTCTTGTGTCCTTTGTGGATATAAACCATTGGCCGGAGGCAAGATATCTATGTTCCCTCGGTCTTTGAAGGCCTTCCCCAGGCTCTGCCTTCTCTGAATTACATAAACTAAGCTTTTTCTGGGAAAGCACATCTATAAATGGACTGTGTCAGCATATCTGAAGAATGGGGCACAGAGACTCAGAGAGGCTGGTTGCACAGAATAGTGGAGTATTGTCAATGTATAAAGAAGAGACTGAGGGAGGCAGGGGTGAAATATTTGGGAGAGATGAATGGACCCAAGTAAGCCAAAGAGAGGCAAGAAAAAAATCTTAGAATCAAAGTTATATAGTTGTATGTATATATATAATATATATATATGCATATATATATATTATATACATAGTAACATATAACTACACATATTATATATAAGCTATATATACATATAACTTTTAAATATACATAGTTAGTTAGTATTACTTAGTTTGAAGGAATCTAATCCAATCTCCTCATTTTACCTATAGGAGAAAAGAGGACCTGAGAAGAAGAAGTGAATTATACAATTATAGCTTGAGATCTGGAAGGGATAGTAGAAATCATCAAGTTGTTTAAAAACTCTCATTATACAGATGGGAAGACTAAGGCCAAGAGAAATGAAAGTGATTCATGGAATAAGAAGTAGAAGGGAATTTAATAGTCTAACCTATTTATCCAGTGTTAGAAGGCTCTCAGTGGTAATTATGGAAGTTAGTATTGCCCAAAAAAAGCAGCCAGCAAGAAACCAGAAAGAAGGGGTTGGTATCCTAACATATGACCTTGGGCAAACTATTTAACCTCTCCAGACTTCAGTTTCCCTGTTTGCAGAATGAAGAGGTTGGACTGGATGACCTCTAAGATCCTTTTCAGACCTAAATGTATGATTCTATACCTTTTGCTAGGTGGCACAATAGATAGAGTGCTGGGCCTGGAGTCAGGAAGACTCATCCTTCTGAGTTCGAATCTGGCCTCAGACATTTACTAGCTATGGAACCCGGGGCAAGTCACTTAACCCTGTTTGCGTCAGTTTCCTGATCTGTAAAATGAGATGGAGAAGGAAATGGCAAACCACTTCAGTATCTTTGCCAAGAAAACCCCATATGGAGTCATGAAGAGTCAGACACAACTGAACAAGACCTTGAATTAGAGATATTAAAACACCATTTAAAATTAGGTGAAATAGATCCCAACGAAGGTAGTGGTGGGGAATCATGTGAAGGGTTAAAGAGAGAATAAGAAGGAAGAAGAGAAAATAATCAAGAGGTAGGGAGGAAATGATCTCTAAGTCTTTTCTGGCTCTAAAAATCCTATTATCTCCATGATATTAAGCTATGAAGGAAAGAGATATGGAAAGATGGACAACAAATTGTAGGAAGAAGGTATCCTAAGATTAAAGTTAAGATGGTTGATAAGATGAAAGATTGAATCTAGAGGAAAGAAAAAAAAAAGATCAAGGAAATAGGGAATAGAGTTTAGAAAGAAGAGTCTGGTGAACAAAAAAGACGTATAAGTTGGTGAGTTGAAAGTTTGGATAGGAAAGGGTGGTCAACAGAGGGTGTGTGTGTGTGTGAGAGAGAGAGAGAGAGAGAGAGATGGTATGGAATCTTATTGGAATGCCAATGTGGTGAGGGGAATTGAAGGACTGAGATGTATAGTTCAACTTCAAACAATTCAGAGGAAGGCTGGGTTAAAAGATGGAGCAGCCAAAGTCTTCTCAGCTGAGGCTCTTAGAGTGGGGAAGGGTTAAGGGGAAGTCGGGAGAGGGGCAGACAGACCTGCTTGTGTCTGCTTCACACCCTTTTCAGGAATTTCACACCCAGAGTAGAAACTGACAAATGCTGAGCTCTGAACAGCCCAGGAGCAGGCATCCAACATTAAAAAGCTCTTGGAAAACCAGGAGAGAGGGATGATAGGGACATTGCTGAGATCTTGGAATGGAGAAGGGCTTCCTGGCCAGACTTAGTCTGCTCCAAGCTACAGAGGCTTAAAAAGGGGGGAGGGGAGGGAGAAGGGGGGGGGAGAAGTGGGATAGTGAAGGCAGGTTTAAGGCTCAGAGTTGAGGTATTTGCAACCTATAGGACCCAAGGCTGATAAAGAGAACTAAATGTTGGAGGAGAGGAGAGGTAGGTCAAAGGAGGGGTTTATCCCACGAATTTGAGCGGGGAGGAGACTATAGGCATCAAAAGAGAAAGGGGGGTGGGTGTACCTGAGGAAAGACAAAGTTATGTCCTGACTACATAGTAGGGGGACACCCCATCCTAGGGTGGCAGAAGGGTGGGGGGAAAGGCCATAGCTGAGACTGCCAATTTTAGCCTGGGGTGGGGCATGTGGAGAGAGGTGAAAGCACAAGATGACTGGACCTTGAGGGGACAAGAGGGAAGGATGGTTATTGGGGGGTGGGGGTGGGGGGGTGAAAGGGAGAAGCAGTTCAATATTGGGGATATGAGAGGAAGGGGAAGATGTTGGGGGAGGGGGGCAGATCGGAGAAGGGAGGGGCAATGTGAAGTACTAGGAGTTGGAGGAGGGAGGGGGTAGAGAAGCTGCCGCTGAATCCGGGGCAATGCTAGGGTGAAGGGCAGGATTAAATTGGGGTGCAGGGATCCCAGGGAGTTGGACTCTTAAGGTCTTAGGCGATAGGTGGTCACTGCGGCGAGCCTAGAAGGTGAATGGGGAGGGGGTGGCACAGGGCGGGGGCCGAAGCTGAGTGGGTCCCGGGCTGAGCCGTGGTGGGGGCGGCGGGGCTGGGGAGGCGGTGCGGGGTGGGGGGGGGCGGTCCAGGGCCGATCGGGAGGCGGAGCCCTGGAGCTGGGGGCTGCTAGAAAGCGACTCACTCGGCTCCTTCCCTTCTAGCGTCCTTGTTCTCCTCCAGTCTCCATCTCCACCACCAAAGCCCCCCGTACCTGCCTCTTGGTGCGCCCTCCCGGGCTGCAGCTTCGCGGCCCCCTCAGGCATGGCCGACCCGAGCAGCCCCGGGCTCGGGCTCCGGTGGCGGCTGCGGCTCCGGCTCCGCCTAGGCTCGGGCTCCGGCCGCCCGTCTCTGCTGCCGCCGCCTCCCTCCGCTCCCGCCCCGCTGCTCCCTCTTCTCCTGCTGCTGGCCAGCGGGCCCGGCTCCTCTGCCTCCCGGGAACCCGACAGCTCGTGCCGGCTGAAGACGGTCACCGTGTCCACGCTGCCAGTGCTACGGGAAAGCGACATTAGCTGGAGCGGCGGCCGGGCCGGGGCCGCCACCGCCGCTGCAGCCGCCGCAGCAGCCGCCGCGGCGGCCGGCTCTCTGGGCTCAGGAGGCTCCGGCTCGGGCGGCCCGGGCAGCCCCGCAGAGTCCCGGCTTCTGCTCTTTGTGCGCAACGAGCTGCCCGGGCGCATCGCAGTGCTGGACGACCTGGACAACACGGAGCTGCCGTTCTTCACTCTGGGTAAGAGGCGGAACCCGGGGGTAGGAGGAGGCATAGTATAGTGGGACCCAGAGGTGGGAGTCCGGAGCTCAGTCTGTCTCCCTCTCGCTGGACTGTCTCTCTGGGATGTGTCTCCATTGGGCATCATATTTCGGAGCTCAAACAATCCCCAGGGCCCTAATCATCCGCTCGAGAGCGAACCCCCGATTAACCCGCGTACATCTCTGGCTTGGGGCCCGAAGAGTTAGCCCAGGGCCCCAGGGGGCGTGGGGAACGAGGTCCTTGCATTGTACCTGGAGACCGTCCTGAACGAGACTAGAGAGATAGGGGGAAAGGGGGGGGGGGGGGGGGAGCTGTGATCAGAGATGAGAGGAAGGGGCACCCCTTCACCACCATCAACTCTGTCAGGAGACCAGCGCACAGGTGGTTCGAGTGTGTTACGGGAGTGGGAGCAGCTGGCAGCAAGGTGCCGGGGGAGAGGATAGGGGATGACAGCTTGTGGATTTGGAATTTTGTTCCCTTTGGGGATTGGGACGAGAGTTAGTGGGAACCAAATTTCCTACCGAAGGTACCTTAGTGCTTGGAATCAATGTTGGGACACCTGGGTTTGGAGCAGTGGAGATCTAAAGAGAGCAGAGTGCTATTCAGGGCAGACTCCGGGGCACAGAGGGCAAGGAAAGAAGGTCTCCCCCTATCTTCCCCCCTCCGGGGCGCTGTCGTGCTGAAAGAAGAGTTTAATAGACGCATGCACTAGTTAACTATGTGTATTGGGGGAAATAGAGGAAATTGGGGAAGATGGGACAGACCCTATACTGGAGCAAATGACCTCCTACCCTCACCCCCTATTCCTTTTCAGTAACGGAATCTTCTGCTCTAGGGATTTGGCAGAGTGGGCAGATCCTTAATGAAAAATGTTGTCTAGATTATCGTCTGGTTACGATCTGAATGTGCCCAGTATAAGGATGACCCTGTTGTCTCTCAGGGTTTTTCCTGAAAATCGCGTGGGAAAAGGGTAGAACATTAGTGTGAGATCTGTCTCCAGATCTGTGCTGACACAATGCGGTAGCAAAGTCTGGTCAGTGGCATTGGAACCCCCTATTTCTTGTCTGCTTATGCCTTGTCCCCTTGTCTCTACTCCTTTCTTAGGGCACAGCTCCCCTGGCTTAGCACTTGATTTTCTGCAAATAATAACTTGCAGGACTTGAAAAAATAACAGTGAAGGCAGAACTTAATCAGAAAGTTCCGGGGCAGACTGACGCCTGCTCTGTTTGGCCAAGTCCCCAAGGAGCGTTCCCTTCAGGGCTATCAGAAGAGTGGCTGTTTTTCCTCTTTGTATCTTAATTATCTATAGCACTCAAAAATTTTTTTTTTCTCCTCTCCCTCTCTCTAGTTGTCTCCTCATCCCTATCCGTCCACTCATTTAGGAGCAAGAGAAAGATTTATTAATAGAGTCTGGCCAATGAGACACAAGCTCACCCTTCTGCTATTTATTGAAGGACCCCCTCCTCCCTTGGTCTGTCCCAAATTCTTCTCAGTCCTTCCTGGGAGGCAAGAGCTGTGGGATTCTGTTCTGGATGCAGATGGGGGCTTTTGGCCTGTGTTCCCTTCTAGGAAATATCTGTCAAAAGACAGAGGGACACTTTCTTCCCATTCTGTCATCACTCAACTCTTGCTCACTTCAGAAAGAGAACTTGGAGAGATGTAGCTGAGAGGACTGAGGAAAATTGGATTAAAAGTAAGAGCACATGAGTTCAGATCAGAGCTCTTTTTACTACCTATGACCTTGGGCAAGTAATTTCAGCTCTCTGAGCCTCATTTTGCTCCTCTGTAAAATAAAATGGGTGGACTAGATAATTTCTAAAGTCCATTCCAACTCTAAAATGCTATGATACAAAGATGCTATAAAGAATGGGAACAAAATGCCTGAATACAAATTGAATTCCTCTTTCTCCTGCTCTTCCCAAAGCTCTGAACTTCCTCTTCTGTGTAAAAAGGCAGCAGATGGGCACTTGACACTGCTCTGCTCCACTCAGTCCCAGGTTTTCTTTCCTCTTTTAGCCCTCAAGTCTACAGTAACTAGAGTGCTCTTGGTTTCCCTGAGAGAAGGCTGGAGGTGGGGTGGTGAGGTGGGGCAGGCACATCAAGTTTAAGGTTCCTTCTTTGGGGCTTCCCAGGGCAATTTATCTCACTTCTGTGGAAAAGCACATTCCTTCCCCTATAGTGTCCATTCTGCCTAGAAGGATAAAAAGGTGTTGAGGAGGAGATGATACACCACTGTGGATCAGCTTTGTGCCCCCTTTCACCTGGGCTCTTAGGGTCCAGTATTGGCTCCATGCCACATATAGCACAGGAAATATTGGACTCCTAGCTCAGCCTGCTGGTTCCAGCCTTAGAGCTCAGCTCTCTGATCTTGTCAGTGAAGCAGCCAGGGTTCTCCTTAGGCTCACTACTGCCCCCTTCCCCTTCTTCTGGTTCTTGGCTTCTGAGGAGGCATGCCGCAGGTCACTGAACTGAGGGACTCAGAGACTCCTGGAACGCCAAACTTCCTCTCCCCCAGCATTCTACCTTAACTGAGCAGACTATGTCACCCAACTGTACCAAGGTTTCCTGAGTCCTTACGGCTTGGGTCCAACAGATTGAGAGACCCAAATGGCAGTATTACAAGAGAGAATACGAGCAGCTTAGGGAATAGGAGAATGAGAACCTCAGAACCTTGGGGGTGGGGGTGAAGGGGAGGAAGTTCCTGTTTGGCTGCTTGGGAAGCTGCCCTAGACCAGACTGCCCGAGGGTTTGGTGTCTTGTGTTTTAACACATGGTCAGGATTTTTTCAGAAAAGCCCTGATCCCAATGATTGAACAGATGAAATCATGGCATGGAAATGACTGGAACCAGAAGTATACTATAGGAAGCTAAAAATCCTATATTCTCACAACTGTTTGCCATGGGCAGTTGTATCTCTAGAATTCTTCTCCTCTCTCCCTCTAAGAATTTCCATTCTCACTAGGAGTCTTTATAAATGTTTTGTGATTAGAAAGTACCAGAAATTGTGGAGGCTGTGAAGTATAGTTCCATTCCTTGAGGTTAACCCCCCACCCACCTTGTAGATGATTTTCCTCTTTATCCTACTGTGATCTGTTCCTGGAGATTTGCCTACTTCTGGGGTATGCCCTCCCCATCTCTCTCTTCTGCCCTGCGCCAGGGACCTGTGGTGGTGCTGCTTCCCGCTGGGGAATTTGGCGAGCATCGGCAGCAAGCAGATGGCTGGGGATGGATGGCAGGAGCTATACAGAGAAACGGAGGCTTTTTATTTGTATTGGTCTGAGACTGTTTTCGGGTAAACACTGGGTGCACAGTGAGCTTTGTGGAGAGACCTACAACTGGCTAGAAAGGGAAGATTTGGTATTCCTGCCATCACCTCTTCCCTAGGCCTCATGGTCTTAGAGACACTAGTCTCCACCTACCTAACCATTCGGTCAGTTTCCTGCCTCTGAAGAATTCCCATGCCATATGTTCCTCCAATAGGAGTAGACATTTCCATTTTCTCTTGCTTCTGACCAGAGAGGAGATCTGGAGTTTATGAGTGCCTCCATCTGATGAAGTCTGTGGTCGTTGCTCAAGGAGAGATGTCAGTGAGATGTACCAAGCCTCTGATGATTGTCTGGGGCTACGAGGAGGTGGTAGTGTCTGATGAGGCTACATTTAGGTCCTTGGGGGCAATTTGCTCTGTTTATTCATTCTAGTGACCCAGCATCACACTATCCAACTGATCCCCTGGGATTAAAAGTCCTCTTGGGTCCCTAAGGTGAATATTAAGAGATCATACCACCTCACCCAATATGGCTGTTTGTGATCTACAGATTTCTCCTTGCACAACTAGTCTCCTCTGTAAGCTGGACTCTGAAATCCTCCCTTCATTATTTTTTCTCAAGTTGTCATCCCTCCCTGTCACCCTCTGCCTAGTGTCCTAAACAATTTACCCTGCTTTTGACTGGTGTGGAGGTGAATTACAAGTGCTATTTCTTTCTGCATCTCCCCTGCCTTCATCTCTTCCTTTGTTGGCTTGCATTACCTTCCCTGGATAAATAAATGGGTCTTTCCTTCCCAGATGGGAATGATCAAAAATCAGAAAGGGATAAAGGTCCTAAAATCCATATTTCTTGGTATAGAAGACCTAAATGCAGAAAAAATAGCTGCTTCCAAAATAGAGAAGAGTAGGACTGAAATTCCACTAGGACAATAGCAAAGCAAAGATTTATTGAGCATCTTTTGAATGCTAGATACTGTGGGGGATACAACCCTGAATTAGACGTAGTCCTTGATATTGTGGAATATACCATGGAGTTAAGGAGATAGGGCTTAAAAGTTAAATAACTAGTGAAGGATAGAGGCAAACCATTTGGTATTTCATCAAGGATCTTTTCCCTTCTTTAGGTATGTGTGTGTATATGTGTATGTGTGTGTTTAATTTTAAGACAATATAGGAGATGCCAGTCACAAGACTGTATATAATTAAGTGACAGAGGAGCAAGACATTGGTCCAGAGGAGAAGTCATTGGATTGAAGCGGTCTGGGAAAGTTTTACTGGAGTAAGGTTGGCTGGGCCTTGAAACAGGATTTGGATACTATTGATGGTTTAGAGTAAAACAAGGAAGCTGATGTTACCTACCTGGAAGATGAATAGGAAGCAAGAGGAAAGCAAGTGAGATAGTGTTATTTGGGAATTGCAATGATTTAACCTTATAACTAATGTTAGTCTTTGGGCAAGTCACTTATATCTCTGGGCCTTAGTTTCCTTATTTGTATAAAGAAGGGGCTAAGCTACATGATGATACTCCTATTGTTATATTTCTGTTTAACTCTGGAAGATAGGTAATACAAGCAAGGTTACCTCCATTTTACATATGAGGGGGGAAATTGTGACTTGCTCATGGCCACATGATAATAAGAATAGGGGTCTGTATTTGAACCCAGATCATCTCTAAGTTCGCTTTTATCCTTGACATTCTATACAATTATAATTA